CTAATTCTGTCTACACATTCATATTATGTCTCTTAACTTTAGCTAAGCAACTTGTATGATACTGGAGGATAAATATAGAAGGATAAGAGACCCATAGAGAATGTATTGGCCATTGCTAAGGATAGGCATCCACAAACAAAAAATCACATTCAAAGAGAAGACTCTTGTATTGCTTACAAACACTGCACAAACATGTCACAATTCAATACAATATATTATTGCCATCAATACATGATCTGTACATTACAGACTATACAACACAACATTCAAACAGAATACTTGTACACAAGCCTTCTAGCCCTCAGCTCAAGATCCACACAAATCAATTCAATATCTAATATGTGGGACATTCTTTTCTTAACTGACAAATTGACAATGATTTTGAGAATGTCCAATTATGTCATTTGGTGACAAACATATTTCTGTCTACAAGTATGTTGAAATATTTTCCAAACACCAATGACAAATTAGAATCCACATACAAGTACATAGTACTTTACAAGACCTATCAAACAATGATAGCCAGCCAGCCAGCCAGCCAGCCGCACATACATCAAAATAAGCAATATAATCTCAAGTACAAGTCTTGGCATTCATCTTAATATATAGCAACATCAAAGCATACAGCCCCTCCTTCACCACAGTAATAATCACTTGTCCGCCCCAATCATAAAATGTCCTTATCAGTATCCACACAACCATATAATTGGTGCCAAGACATCCTTTTCAACATGTCAGGTTTATATCCAATCTCTTCTCCTAAAATGGGACCACTTCTATTACATTACACTGACCTTGACTCTAGCAAAAAAAAATGCTCTTTATGCGACTATTCTGTGCTTTGTGTACTCCTATGGATGGTGAGGTATAGTGCAGAGTGAACCTCATATAAACCACTAAGCTAAATTCATAAAGCTTATGGCAGTAAGTATACACACCTTGATCCTTTCTGTTCTATGGACGTACATGTATGTTCCTCGACAAGTTAGCTCAGGTTAGTTTTGTTACTTTCCGTTAAAAGTTAGATTATGGAGGTTACATTAAGTTAGAGTACATTCAGTTATAAGTTAGCTAGATTAGGTTACAGGTGTACATACATGTCCTTTAAGCTGTATTTTGTCTGAAGCTGTCCGAAAACTTGGCCCACACAGGGTTAATGGCATATACAAGGGTCGTACTGAAATTCATGAGCAACAATTTTTTGTAGAGTAACATGCTTTATTATTGACAAACCAAATACACCAGCTCAATTTGCAGACCTTTCTTTATTTTCCCACATAATCGCCACTCCTTTGCTCACATTTCTCCCAGCGTTCTGGGAGTTTGAAAATTCCCCTTCTTTAAAATTCTGTTCCAGCCATCTGAAGACACTGATGCACTGCTTTCTGAATCGCCTCCCTTGTCTGAAAACGTTGTTCACACAGCTGATCCTTCACAAATCTGAAAAGATGGTAGTTGGAGGGTGCCAGATCAGGGCTATAGGAGGGATGTGGAAGAACTTCTCACCCCATCTTTGCAATTGCTTCCAATGTGAGGCGAACGGCATGGGGACAAGCGTTGTCATGCAGGATGATGATGTTTCGTCCTGGACATTTATCGCGCAATACACGACGGAGCTTGTGCAGCGTCTAGACATAACGAGCAGCATTGATGGTTTGCCCAGGTTCCAGGAATTCGGCCTCTGCATCCCATAAGACTGTGTCCATCACCTTTGCAGCTGATGGCACTGTCTTTGCTTTCTTTTTTGATGGAGAATGCAAATGGTACCATTCCATACTCTGCCGTTTCGTTTCGTTTCAGGCTCGAAATAGTGAAACCAGCTTTTGTCACCTGTCACAATACAGAGCAAAAAATCATTGCCTTCGTGTCGATATCTCTTCAGCAGTTCTGAGGTGATTGCTTTTCGCTGATCTTTGTGTCTTTGGTCAATAACCGCGGGACCCAATGAGCACAAACTTTCCGATAGCCCAAGCTTTTAATCATCTCCTGTACTGCACTGTGCCCTATTCCAAGTTTTCAGGCTATTGTGTCCACAGCCTGTCATCTTGAATGATCTCATCCACTCTTTCCTTGTTGCGTTCAGTTGAGGCTGTTCGAGGACGACCGCTCTGAGGCTCATCTTCGAAGCTGGTGTTCCCATCTTTAAAATGTTTCACCCATTTTCAAACACATCTGGCACCCATGGACACACTTGCATAAGCACGCTGAAGTCTCTGGTGAATACCTGCAGCTTGGATTTCCTCTTTCACAAGAAATTCGATGACAGCACGCTGGTGAAACGACATATCGTTGTCGGCCATTTTGTTAGGAGTGATAGTGGTCACGTGATGCAAGCTATTGACGTCACAAGACACTCAAGGTTTACACAATAGCTCGTTCCACCTACCACCCTACTCTCTTTTGTCTGCTGTTCCCAGGTTGCATGCAAAAAGAAGTTTTTCATGACTTTCGGTACAACCTACGTACTTCTGCCCTCAATATTCAAATATTGCACTAGGCTCAAATCGGTTTCTTCTTTGCCCTTCAAATGAAACCCCACCTCCCCCGACTCCTGTAACAATTTTTCTCTTAGACAAAATAAATCAAATTTCTTACATATAATTCAAACACGGATCATTCATTTAGACCAACTCACACGTCAAGCATCATAATAATGATACCTAAAGGGATATTAATCTATATTTATCAGTCATACATTTCTAAGGCTAGTTGCAAGACCGGTATCTTGTGGCGCAGAACGATGCGGTAGTTTACCCATTGCACTGCCTGTAGTGCTGGCAGATGAACCTCTCACACAACTGCTGCATATCTTCCAGTGCTGGAAATCCTCATCCAGACTTCCCATGATATATGACTGTCAACAGGAAAGCATATTTCTGTGACTGGTGATGGTTACAATGGCATACAGATGCAGGTCTGCATACAGTGAATCTCCTACTCAAGGTCTGTTTGCCAGGAAGTGGATTCTTGCATCTATGTAATTTAACAATGTGTTTACTGACACGTCACCAAAACCGAATGTTACCTGAGGTTAATCCCGCATCAAAGAGCACTGATGAGGATTCCACTGTATTTCAGTTCCCTGCACATTGTTCCCTCTCAGGTCCTGGATCATCTCTTTATAAGCCTTCTGAAAAACAGTCATCTTACCCCTTAAGTTTCTATTAACTCTACAAGATCTTGCTGCGCATATGTCCAATGAACATGGAAGACCACCAATCACTTCAGCTCCTCATGGATGTGGAGAGACAGCTCATTTTCAAACAAGACGTTGCTGCACCATCATTTCGCACAGTCTACAACAAACAGTAAAATTACTTGGTAAAACCTAATATATGTTAATATTATACAGTGTCACTATTATATTTAAGATATTATCAATCTCCACACAGCATAATACTCATTTGCACAGTTACTCATGTAGGTCAGGAGCTGGGTTTGAAACCCTGACATTTTTAAATGTTTCAATGAATATGTTGTTATAAATTTACCACCCGATAATCCATCAGCATCATGATGTTCCTTCCAGACCCAAAGGAATGACACACACACACACACCAGCCCTGTGAACACACAAAGTAACAGTTCAATAAAGGCCACCAATTTTATCTGCACTGTGGACCAGAATACTGACACATACATTAGAATTCTGAATTCACATGGCAAAACATTACCATCCCATTAAAATCTTTCATCTCTCAGCAAAATATGTTATCATATCCATGCTCAGTAGCTCATGAGCTAACAGGAGATGCACAGTACTTGGTGCTGTTAACACATCTGGAAGGTTGGGTGGTGCAGCCTTTGACGAGAGCTCAACCCCACTCTTTCACAGCTCTTGTAGTCCTCACACCTCCAATAGGATATAGTGAATAGCACTGCAGACCAGTGGTTACACTTAAACGATTTCTTATGATATGAAGAATCCTGGGTGTTAAAGTAACAGTGTCTACCCTCATCTTGCAGATTTCTGGTGCAACAAATCTTGTGCTGCTAAGGGTATATTCAAATAATGAGACTTCATAACAAACAAAAAGCAAATAATGTCATGTGCGACTTCTAATAGCAACATATGCTAGGGAAATTTTACACATTTCTGAACATAAAGCACAATAATTACAAAGCATTATTTTAATTTGAAATAGCAATTAATTCGTTGTTTCCATGCAAAAACCTTGTAATTTGTCAGAAAAAACTGTTTTTACAAGTTTACATGTTTATTGTATATAATGCAGGTATTCCAAATTCTCATAACTCAAAACAATGTCTTGTTGAATATTTGGACCAAAATCTACTTTCTGCACAATATACAACTTTACTCACCGCATTTCTGTCCCTTTCTCTGATTCATGTCTAAACCTACAAACCCACACAACAGGACTGCTGCTATATGGCATATCAGGATATAAACGCAACGAGTTTAACACTGAGGCAGAGCTATTTGCAATATGATCATCATTTGAGCAATTTAAATATTAGATCCCAATGAGCCTTGTGTTTACTTCCTAGGTGCTTCGCATTTATTTCTCCCAATCTTTACATTTGAAACCAAGTTTTGTTGAGTGGCCCTTAGAGAACTGGTATGTGTGGGCATAATTTTGTAAGATCATACATATATCAGAAAATTGCTTCCTTATCATTAGACAATCCTGGCGAGTGTTCAGATACTTGTGAAGAAGCGTTTTTGATATCTGGAATACAATTCCAATAAGCATTTTGCTGTGTGAACAACAGAAAGGCACATTTTCCAGGCTCATTCCATGACAATTTAAATGTCACTGGCAGCTGAAAATGATCTATTGCAATCTTCAAAGTCTCTGTCATAACATCAGATTATCTCTCATCATTCCTAAACTTACAGATATATCCTGAGACATTCTTGTAACATGGAAAGGTTTCCACGCGCACACTGTATCCAATGGTTTGTAACAGCCTTCTAGAACATGCATTACTTATAAACAAGTACGTGTTCTACTTAATACATTGTACACTATCTGATGTGAAATCTCTGAATCCTTGTTTCCAACAGTGTATTAACCAGACTGGGAGAAATGGAGGTTCATAAACACAGTTGTTGCCCATTAGAATGAGAGTTCATAAAAACAATAACAGATTAAAAGAAAGGTCTTGCTCTCAGAATCGCTGGATTTTTTACATGTTTTGCTTACCACACTGTGTAAAACCTGATGTTATATCTATCAGATTCATGTTCCAAATATTGTATTAACATAACCAGAAGGAACGAAGGCTCATCCACACTGACGTTGCCTGTTAAGAATAAGAGGACACATCAATCATAATGACAACTTAATCTTAACGGCAGCTTACAATGACTTGTTCTACATGCAACATTGTACACTACCTGATGTGAAATCTCCGAATTCATGCTTCCAACACTGTGTTAACCTGGCTGGGAGAAATGAAAGCTCATCAACACTGATGTTACCTGTAAGAGAAAGAGGTCACATCAGTCATAATGACAACTTACAATGACTTGAACTACATACAACACTGTACATTACCTGATGCAAAATCTCTGAATTCATGCTTCCAACATTGTGTTAACCTGACTGGGAGAAATGAAGGGTCATCAACACAGCTGTTGCCTGTAAGAGTAAGAGGTCACATCAATCATAATGTCAGCTCACAATGTCTTGTTCTACATACAACACTGTACATTACCTGATGCAAAATCTCTGAATTCATGCTTCCAACATTGTGTTAACCTGACTGGGAGAAATGAAGGGTCATCAACACAGCTGTTGCCTGTAAGAGTAAGAGGTCACATCAATCATAATGTCAGCTCACAATGTCTTGTTCTACATACAACATTGTACATTACCTGACGTGAAATCACTGGATTTATTTTTCTAGGATTGTATTACCCTGAGTGGAAGAATTGTAGGTTCATCAACACTGGTGTTGCCTCCAAAGGAAAAAGATCATGCCAACATTAATAACGCCTTATAAAGGACATACGTAATTGACCACTGTACACTCCCTGATATGAAATCTCTAATTTCTTGGTTTCAACATAGGAATATACTGACTAGCTGCAATTCAGTTATGAACTAATCTTTTCATGCAAATAAGTTATACCTACATTCCTGGAAGCTTATAGTGATTTTTTTCAACTGTCCACACTGTACACCACCTGAATCAAACATTTCTGAATGCTTTTTTTCATATATATATTATCCTGTGTAGCAGCAATAAAGACTCATTAACACAGTTGTTCCTCGTAAAATAAGAAGTGGTATCAGCTTTATGACAGCTCATAAGGATGGATGCCTTATCTGAGCTCACTGTACACTACCTGATATTAAAACTCAGATTTCAGGTTTCCAAAATACTATTAAACTGAATGGTATCAATTAAGTCTCATAAACACCATTGTTACCTGCATATAATGAGTGATAAGAATATTAATGACAATTCATAAAGATGACTTATTCAGCTCACCACACTGTACAGTACATGATGTAAAATCTGACTTATATTTCCATCATTGCATTAACCTGAAAAGCAGCAATTAAGACTCATCCGCATAGTTGTTCCCTGTAAAATAAGAAATGTTATCATCATTAATAACAGCTCATAAAGTTGGATTCCTTCAGTTGACAAAAATGTACAGTACCTGATATGGTATCTCTGAGACCATGTTTCCAATATTGCTTTAACCAGATATTTTTGCAACGTTTGCTCATCAACGCTGTTCTTGCCTGAAAGGACAAGAGGTCATACCAACATTAATCCTAACTTAAAAAGAAGGCCATCACCAGGTGTATAACACTCACATCACTGTCACACTGCACCCAGCTCAAAATTTAACATTTAAAACACTTTCCTTGTTATTATCAACTTCTACTTCGTTGATAACTCTCTGGTTTGTAGATTATTTTATTTTACACACGTTAATTTTGACTTTGTTGTAATAGCACTATAATAAAATCTTTAGTTCTAATTTTAAAAACGTTTAAAATTCTTTCCTAAATTTTAAAATTTTAAAATTGTTAGGGTTATTCGCCCTATGTTTCCAGTGCTGCAGCGGCTAGTTCTTGTTACCACACTGTATAGGTGTTATCTTGTGTAGTCTTTCTGTGTGCGTGCCGCTGCTATTCTTTACTACGTGTGCAGTGGCACGCACACAGATAGACTACACAAGATAACACCTATACAGTGTGGTAACAAGAACTAGCCGCTGCAGCACTGGAAACATAGGGCGAATAACCCTAACAATTTTAAAATTTTAAAATTTAGGAAAGAATTTTAAACGTTTTTAAAATTAGAACTAAAGATTTTATTATAGTGCTATTACAACAAAGTCAAAATTAACGTGTGTAAAATAAAATAATCTACAAACCAGAGAGTTATCAACGAAGTAGAAGTTGATAATAACAAGGAAAGTGTTTTTAAATGTTAAATTTTGAGCTGGGTGCAGTGTGACAGTGATGTGAGTGTTATACACCTGATGATGGCCGTCTGAGGCCGAAATATATAGTGTAGGGGTACAAGATCAAAGGCACAAAATATATTGTTTGCACTTGAGACGGAGTTTGTATCATTATATCATTTATCGTATGGAGTGCAACAGGATGCTTAAATATAATATTAAAAAGAAGGACTTGTTCAATTTAACTGTACACTACCTGAAGTGACATATGTGAAATAATGTTTCCATCGTAGGACTAATCTGCATAGAAGCAACCAAAACTCATCAACACAGTTTTCCATCGCAAATAAGTATTGGTACCGACATTAATGAGAGCTCACAGAGGATGTCTTCAGTACATCCCAATTTACACTATATAATCTGAAGTCTCTGAATTTCTGTTTTATCATAGTCTTAGCCTGACTGGAAGCAATGACAGCTCATCAACGTATGTTTGCTGTGGAATTAAAGGTAGTAAGAAAATAAAGCTGTCCCCTGTGCTTAAATAATTAAACACTACGCCGTGAAACCATATGAGGGAGTGGATATATAGATCCACAGTGCAGTCGGTATAGTGACTGGCTATAGGCTGGATGACCGAGCCGTTGGGAGTTTGAGTCTTGATAAGGTCAAGAATTTTCTCCTCTCCATGCCATCTACACTGGTTCTGAGGGCCCACCCAGCCTACTATTTAATGGGTACCGGGGGTGGGTCCTTCCCTGGTGGTAAAGTGGCACAGGCATGAAGCTGAGCACTCATCTTCAGCTAGTGATGAAGCCAAGGAAAGATGGATCTAGAATAAGAGGCTGTACTATCATTAATGACAGCTCACAAAGAATGCTTAGTTCAAGTGACCAATTTGTACACTACCTGATAACAAACTTCGGAATACATGTTTCCAATATATCGTCACGATTTAGGGGTGTGACTATAGACGGGGTATGGATTGGCTGAATTGGATTTATTGACCACTTCTATACACCACTCGGAACTACAATTTGCATTTCACTGACCCATACACAAAGTCTACTGTCCACAGTCTATTACAATATCCACTAGCCGTTTTCTGGCAACAGATTTAACACAGAGGTTTTCAGTTTCTGTGGCCCCCTGGTTAACACTCCACACCTGAACTCATGGCGCTATCATCTCAGCCTCCCTTGCAGAGCCCAACTCTCGATTAATTGCTCACTTGGAGCTCCGGAACTCAACTGCCGATTCTGAAGTAGCACTTCTTTATTAACTACTTGGCACGGACCGAATGCAAAACGCCTTTTTCAACAATACCTCTACTGTGGGCGTGTTTACCCATTCGGTGCTTGGAAATGGATTTCATAACACCTTTTTCCTATTGTTGTGTGCAGGTTATGTTGTGGACGTTCCCTAGCACTACCTTTGATTTCTACCAATTTCGGTAGGGCACGTGTTTTCACAAAAATATTATAAATGAAATTTCGCAATTACATTTCGTAAAGGTTTTTAATATAACGGAAACATGGCCAGTTTCTTCTTCTTCTTCTTCTTTTCATTTCCGATCTCTCAGTGCAGAAGTGTAAGCATCAAAGAATACTGAGATTCATGCCTATTTATTTCACTTTGCTTTGGAATTAGCCATTACGAATTTCAAGGAAAAATAGGAGAAGATTCAATCCGAATGGGGCACAAGAATTTCTGGTCTACGCTGATGATGTTAATCTACTAGAGGAACGAATATCTTTATAAAAGGCCAAGAGCCCTATTAGATGCTAGCATGAATGTTTTTATGTAAGAAAATAAAAAAGAAACTAAGTATATGCTTATACGTACGTTGAGAGAAAAATCATATCTGATAATTAATCCTGTGATTTTTTTTCCCCCTTGGCACTACAGCCCCAGTGGGCCTAGGCCTACCTCCATGAAACTCTCCGTTCACTTTCGGGTCTTCTAGATCTTACACATACGGTAGGACTCCTTGGGCGGGTGATCAGCTCGTCGCAAGGCCTCTACCTGTACACAAACACAGAGAAACGCACACACACATCCATGCCCTGAGTGGGATTCGAACCCACGATCCCGGCTTCCAAGCGAGCGAAGACAGTACATGCCTTAGACCGTTCGGCTACCGTGACCGGCTGTGATATTTTTAAGTTTGCTATTTAACGACGCTGTCAATGTCGACAGTATACAGCGTCGATAATAGGATGATTAATGAACATGGAACAGTTGGTGAAATGAGAATTATCATAGGAATCCGAAGTACTCTTGAGAAAACACGCTCCGCTCTCGCTTGTCCACCATGAATCCACACGATCTGACCTGCGATGGGAAGATAATGAGGCGAAGTTCAAATATCTGTGGAAGGCACTAATAAATCGAAACTGTATTCATGACAACGTCAAGGTAAGGTAAAAAGGTAAAAGTTATCCCTGTGCTCAGCAAATTCAAGCTCTACGCCATGAAGGTGTATGGGGGAGTGGATGTATAGATCCATATTTTCTTGACCTCGGCACTAGCTGGAGGTAAGTGGTCAGCTTCATGCCCCGGCACCTTTAACTCCGAAGAAAACGCCCCCGGTACACATTGGATAGGAGGTTGGATGAACACCAGGGCCGGTCTGGACGATTTAAAGAGAAGAGAAAATTCCTGACCCTACCGGGTCTCGAACTCCGACCCCTCGGTCGTCCAGCCCGTAGTCACTCCCTATACCGACTATGCTACCCAGCGGGAAATATTTGTTACCGCTTAGTTGAGAATGTTTCATTTCCTTGATTGCTACTTAAGGTGTAAAACATGTCGAATTGCAAATTTGTGTGTAGCCCAATAAGGATGTGACACCTGATCTTTCAGGTTACGGGAAGAGCATAAATGAGAGCATTTGAGAACAGCGGCTGAGGCGAATATAAGGACCAACTCTGACCCCTCGGTGGTCCAGCCCTCAGCCAGTCGCTATCCCGGCTCTACGGTAGCTAGTAGTGCATACAAAATTTCGATAGGAAAACCAAAGGAAAGGGACCATAAGGAAGACTTGGGTTTATATGGAATGATAATATTAAAATGTATATTGAGTTAATGAAATGAAAAGTTACGGATATGATACACCTGGCTCCAGACTGGGACCACTGGATGGGGTAATGAACCGTGTGGTTCTAAACATGCTGCAGTTTGTGTAGCTGAGCTCAACTACCGGCCTATCGCGGGAGATTCAGCTCCACGGCTTCAATTCATGAGCCCGTTTCTTTCAATTTGAAACTGAGAGCTAGATATATTTAGACATTTCTTCTACAGGTCTATTACACAATGCCACTGTTAATGATAAAATGTTTCCATATAACACTTCAAATAAGGGACCTTTCTAAAGTCCTTGGTTCGAAACATGCGGTGCCATACATGAAAGCAAGTCTCATAAATCCACGATTCCCAGAGTTACACTTGCACACTGGAATAACCTGGAAGAAACCCTGTATCCGCAGATGAGCTGTAACTGAACAAAGCGAAACCTGACATCTGCGTAGGGCGCGTGTGGGCAGACTATATGCCATATACGTGTAGAACACATCCTCTAAACGTTCAGTGCTTCCATTATCCTTATTTCATATGTTATATAAGATAATACAATTGGGGAGAAGAGGAATGCATGTAAGATATTGGTGGGAAAGCCTGAAGGAAAGAGACCACTGGGAAGACTAAGGGATAGGTGGGTGGACAATATTAAAATGGATCTTAGAGAGATGGGATGGGATGGTATGGATTGGATTGATCTGGGCTCAGGATAGGGACCAGTGGAGGGCTCTTGTGAACACGGTTTTGAACCTTCGGGTTTCATAAAATGCTGGGAAATTCTTCAGTATCTGCAGACTTGGCTTCTCCTCAAGGAGGGCTCAACTCCATAAGCAAGTAATAGGATAATGCAAATTATAGGTGTAGTTTAACACAATGCAATTAGTTTTTAATTCAATGTCCGAGTGAATAAAATTATCGCGTTTGCACAATTTCTAATAGTTTCTTTGCTTTTTTTTTTGTACAGGAATATGAAACTTCCTCCATGTGAATAATATTCATCAAATGAGAGGTTGACTAGTGTG